TTGTCCAATTCACCGATGACGTAACGAAGGCACAATACGAATGGGCGCCGGTGTTGCTGATGGCTTTGGTTGTGTTCACGGCCGCTTTTGGCATTGTTGGGCTGACCTATACGATTATTGTGGAAATTCTGCCGGCAAAGGTGAGTAAAATTGGAGTTAAGATGGAATGATTTGGGTGAGGAATTATTAATGTATGTATACATGTGTGGAGGATGACGATAACCCATCCCGGCTTGAATTTGAATTAATGATTTTTGAATATGATCAATACTTCTCCATAGGTCTCAGTTGTAGTAAATCTAAATTTCTATTACTTCAAAGATACTAAAAAATAGAAAATTCACGAGTATTTTTACGTGCAATGTGCTCTGCTTACAAAGGATACAAAAAGTGGTATATTTATCTATGTATAAGTAATCGAAGATAGACTTTGGCTCTGACTTCGAAGTTGCTCACAGAAATGAGAAGGAATCTGACATATAAAGTTTTTGAGGTCGACAAAAACTAACTCGGTACAAGATTAGAGCGTTTATTCGAGGATCTGGTGCTAAAAACCGTCTCACTGTAGAGACTAACTGATAGGATAGGATAGGATAAGTCAAGATAGTATACATCAAGCAATGGATAACTTTTGCTTACAAGAAGAACAGAAAAACCTGTTAGCACTCGGGATGAACAACTGACGCAACTTCGTAAAAGAGAGGGGCGCTTGGCCAAAACGACAAAAGGTCGTAATGCCAAATAAAAAGATGAAGAAGGGATGTATAGATTTTTGGAAATATGTTCTCATCTGGGCCGCTGACCACCAACCGAACTCTAGACAGGAATAGCCTGCCTTCGCTTGCTAACCTAACCATCTCTGACTAAACGAAAAACGCAGTAGGAGCTACAAAAAATACGTATTTTGTTCTGGGACACTCATGCACATATCTCTATCTTTGGTTTTGGTAAAAAGTGTAAAATTTAATAACAGCATAAACATTTTAAATTCCTGAAAATCTATAAACAGGTCAAATGGGGATAAATAGAAATTGTACCGAGCTGAAAGGGGAAATTACTTGGTTTGTTATTTATGTTGTTATCAGAATGGAAAAACGATATCCATAATAAGTTCCATGAAAATATCGATAAACATTTTAACAACGGTATCAATAAACAAAATTATTAAAAAAGTATCGATATCACTAAAATCGACAACGGTATCGTTAAATACATATATCGTTAACGATATCAAAAATAAAAATTACTAGTATTGGGTAGTTTCGGTACCTAAAGTACTCATAACTTGATTCTTAAAACGATCGACAGCACAAGGTTTTTAAAATAATCGATACGGAATACTCTCAAGTACCTGGTACTTACAAAAGAACCCGAGAGTACTCAGAACTCGAAAGTACTCAATACTCAAAAATACTCGGCTCCAATCATCACTTTAATATATGTACTCCGGATTGATTCGAAGTACTCAATATTACCTAAAGTACTCAGAACTCGATTCTTAAAACGATCGACAGCACTAGATATTTAAAAGTGTCGATACCGAATACTCTCAAGTACCTGGTACTCACAAAAGAATCCGAGAGTACTCAGAACTCGAAAGTACTCAATACTCAAAAATACTCGGCTCCAATCATCACTTTAATATATGTACTCCGGAGTGATTCGAATACGTGACGATTGATTCGAATATTGTGACGAATAGGTACCTAAAAGTACCGAGTTCTACTCACATTCACTGATATTCTGAAATGATTGTACTCAACTTCAAGTTTCAACAATTTTCAAGTAGGGTGCTTGTGCTCAATACAGGTAGCCATATATTTAAAGTAATTTGGGATTAATATATTAATACTGATGGGAAAAATGAAAAGAGAAGCTGTCACGGAAATAATAAACGCGTTGAAGGTCACATTAAAACAAAACTACTTCCGGTTCAACAATAAGATATATAAACAGATTAACGGGTTAGGAATGGGCAATCCGACGTCAGCAATACTCATGGAAGTATTCATGCAAACACTGGAGGAGAAATACATGAAAAACCTATCGACCAACCTAGGAGTAAAATTCTACGCGAGATATGTCGATGATGTAATATGTCTAATAGAGGGAAACAAAGAGAAACAGATACTAGACTATCTCAACAAACAACACCAGAATATAAAATTCACCATGGAAACGGAAGAGGAAAGAAAGATTAACTATCTGGATTTAACAATTAAAATAAACGATACCACGAACAAGATAGAGTTCGAAATATACAGAAAACCAACAGCCACAGACACAATTATACACAATAGCTCAAACCACCCACAGCAACACAAAAATGCAGCATTTAAACAACTAATAACGAGGCTTGAAAGGACACCTCTAACAGAAGAATGCTACAAGAAGGAACTGGATACAATATATGCCATTGCGGAAAATAACGGATATAGGAGAGGCCTGGTGGAGAAGTTAAGAAAGGACACAAAATCGAAAAAGACTAGCAAAGAGGAAAACAATAAAAAAACTTGGGCAGCTCTAACTTACACAGGAAAGACATCTTACAAACTTGCCAAATTCTTTCATAAGTACGACATTCAGACATCATTTAAAACAAGGAACACAGTGGGAAATATATTAAAAGAGAAAATAAGCGAGGAAGACCCGCTAGATAAACAGGGTGTTTACAAGTTAACCTGTGAGTGCCGACACAGTTACATAGGACAAACGGGGCGAAATATAAGAACAAGGTATCGAGAACACATAAGGGATTATAATAAGAAAAAACGAAAACCAGAGGCTGCAATAGAATCGAACTTCGCGAATCACATGATCAAAAATAAATGCACACCAATGAAGATTGGACAAACAACAGAACTTCTCCGTGTACAACATAAAGGACAAAGATTGAATATATTAGAAAATATGGAAATATATAAACAGAAGACCTTCAAAGGACAAATAATAAATGAGCAAATAAATACTGCATCGGACGTACTGTTTGAACCTCTAAAACTACTGTACAAGAAGAAGAATGACAACAAGAAAATATTAAGGACAGATATGGAGCCAAAACAATTCATCTACCTATTGAGTACCGCAAACACTGCAAAACTAAAAAGACGTACCTAACAAAAGAAAGAGGTAGTTAACAAGGAGTATAAATACGAGCAACCAACAAAAATTATGCAGAACGAAAATGACACTGAAGATGGCACAACGCCGAAACCGGTTTGTCTCCAAACCAAATTTGACAAGGGATGACGGAAATTCGTTCCATAATACATCATACACCCACCCTGTCGGAAACAACAACAACCAAAAAGGAAAAATATGTCACAATGAGATTAGTTAATATCAGCATGTCGATATCAATGTCAATATTCATATCCAGTATGAATATATTTTAGAAAACTTGTCAACCCATTTTTTAAAGAGAATAACTACAGTGAGTGTCGGTAAAAATAGTGCAGTACTTTTTTACATTTTTTTATGTTGACTGTGTTGCACATTTTCTTCCATATGAAATACTCATAACATGCGATCGATCATTCACGATGTGGAAAAAAATCCAAAATGACACTGTTAAAAAATAAATAAAAATAAACCGCTTTTTTCAGATTCGCGGTCAAGCTCAAGCGATAAGTATGGTCTTCATGAGCATTTGTGTGTTTGGTGCACTTCACCTCTATCCAATGTTCCTCTACAATTATGGCCTACCTGTGACTATGTACTCCTGCACGGGTGTATGTGTTGTTTGTGGCATTTATTTACTCATCTTCCTCGAAGAAACCAGAGGCAAGTCAATGGAACAAGATTAGCGAAGGAGGCAAAGTTTATGTAAAGCGGCGCGTGCATCCCTGCTATCTCCAAAAATAATTATGAAAATTTTACATGCATTCGTTCTAGATGCAAATGTATAATTAATTTATTATTATTTTTTTAACTATGAATTATTAAAGTAAGTACTAACATTTATCTACGTAGGTACTCGCATGAATGTATTAAAGTTTGACTAGTAACTACTACTGTAGAACGTAGGTATCAGATAATATGTGAAGTAAATATACGAAACTGCAAATTTTGATTTTTTTGTAACTAATTTACTGTATTTAAATACAGAAGAATTAAAAAAAAACGCGCTTCGACATACATTTTACCATTTTAAAGTCCGTTGAAAATTTCCTTACCATTCTGCTTGAAATTCCACTGGGCGTGGGAAATTACACCCACACATGCGGCTGAAACAAACTCGACACACGTTTGCAACGAAAACTTTTCAACAACAACCATTTTTTTATTTTTTTTATTTTCATTTTATTGCTCGCTTGCTTGATTTCTCCAACTTAAAATTACTACAAATTTAAACGGTTGCACGATCATCATTGGCGATCACCTCTCAATTACCTCCGTTTACATCGACCATCTGGCTGGCCATCGAACGAGTAATATTGTGTTTTAAGTGGCTGATGTGGTTCATGCCTCAATTGTAAGCGGTCAAAATTATTAGCGAAGCAGTCAGCAAGTCAGTAAGTCAGTCACTCAGCCATTCAACTACATATTCAACCATTTAGTCAGCCACCAAGCAACAGCTTCTCAACATTTGTGGCTAATTTGCGAGCAATAGGTTATGGCGATTATGGTCATGTCGAAAATGTTAATAGAGAAGAGATGGTGATGTTGCATGTAAGCAGCACTCGGCGTCCGCCCTCTATACAACTCACAAATATGTATACATATTTTTTTTTTTTATTGCAATTGCCTGATATCCCTCCCATACATATACTTTTATTGGCGAGTTGGTGTAGCATCAACGTTTATTACGAGTAAAATGTTGCAAAGGAGAAAATTTCAATTGTAGAGGGTGGTTGCCACTCGAGCAACCTGATTTTGCTGTTGTTGTTGCAACAACGTTTGAAGTGTTTAAATTGCGCATTCATCGCCGCACCTTTTAATATTACGGTAGTAGATTTATGGTTTAAAGTTAGTGTGAAGGAAATTTTCTTTGCTTGCATTCCCATTTTGGTGAGCGGTTCAACAAGCTGTCCCCGTGAAAGCTCAAAAGCTCTGCAGTGCAAGGTGTTGAAAGGAGGATTTGGTTAAACGATGGCGTTCGTAATGGTTACGTTAATGGTAATGGTAATTTAATTGGTAATAGTAGTGATAATGCTAATGGTAATGGTAATTGTAGTGGTAATGTAATTGTTCCGGTAATGGAAATGGCTATAGTAATAGTAATGGTCGGGATAATGGTAGTGGTAATAATAGTAGTAATGATAATGGTACGAGTAAAGGTAATTGTAATTTTAATAGTAATGGTAATTGTGGTATTGGCAGTAGTAATGGAAGCGGCAGTAGTAATAGCTAGGGGAAATGGTAATGGTAATAGTAATGATAATGATAATGCTAATAGTAATGGTAAAAGTAATGGTAATGGTAATAGTAATGGTAAAAGTAATAGCAATAATACTTGGAGTGTAAATACTATTGGCAATCGTAGTGATAATATGTAGTAATTGTAATATTTTTGGTAATGGTATTGGTAATGGCAGTGGTAATGGTTATGACTACAATAAGTAGTGCTTATATCGCAACAGCTAGCTAGAATTTGATCCACTCTGGGTATGAGGCAGTTGTTATTTATACACCGAAATTCGTTCCCATCTTAATACAGTTTGCATTGCTATTTTAAATAACCTAACGGAATCGTTGTGCCCGTGACGAAATTCTTGCAATTTTTCAATGATGTGGCAGCATTTCATAGCACAGTTAATCGTACAACCCTAATCAATTTCGATGTCAGAGTTGCCAACGAAATTAAACTCTGTGAAAAATTTTTTCTCTTCATTCACTGTCTGGAACAATGGTCTGGTTCGATGATGATATATTGTTTTGAAGGGGAGCAGCGTCCGTACAAGAGAAACATAGTCAAGTTTTTCAAATTTAGTTATTTATTAGAAAAAGGGGGTTTAAAAAGCTGAAAGCACTGTATCCGGCCAATAAAGCGCCATACCTTCCATAATACTCCATCAAATTGAATGATTGAAACACCATTTTGGTTCAGGTAAAAGATAAAAACTTTTTTTTACCGCTCGCTTAAAATCTTAGTGACTTAAATATATATCGAGTAAAATGTTGCAACGTATTCAGGGAATGCAAGGCGTTTAACTGCACTATTAACCAGAATTAATAATTTTGAAAAGGGGTTGCCAAATAATTAAATCTCCGAACACGAGAATGAGTAGTGAACGAATACGAAAACGAAGAAGAGGGTGAATATGAAAATGATTGCGAAGACGAATACAAAAGTTGCATTGAAACGACTCCGAAGGCGAATACGGAGGTGAATACGAAGACGACGACGACGATAAATACAAATAAGAATATGAAGAGGAATACGAGTACTAATACGAAGACAGCGACTAAATCGGATACAAAGGTGGATGTCGCATGCATTAATACGAATTTCTTAAAAAAAAAACTACATAGAAAATAAGCCAAATTTCAGCAGTAACTTCCCTGCAGAGAGTGACGTTAGCTTACACCCAACTTTAGTCTATTAACGCGAACACTAGTGCTAACTATTAACTGTTTATTTTGTTCGAAAAAAAGTTAACTACTTTGGTGGGGCGATGGCCACAAAAAAGTTAGACCTGGATACCACTGCATTATATGCCAACCAATTTGTAACTAATTTCTATTGGACATAAGATATTAATATAAAAAAAATTTGTTATTTTTAAATTTTTTTATTAACTTTTTATTTATTTAATTGACATTCAACGCATATTTGTTTATCTTTTTTTTCATATTCTGCCGTAGGTGGCCCTTTATCAGAATTTTGTCAGACATAACATCAAAATGTTTAATATAAAAGTTCGAACTTCATTTTATTTGTCTTTAATTCGAAAAAGTATTTGTGAAGTATAGAAAATAAATGTATTCAAAGCAGTTTTTGTATGAGGATTTTTAAATAGAAACTTGTAAAGCAGACAAACTCCCGGTTGTTTATGCATGACTCCAGCACGACTTTACAACGCGATTTATGTTGGTTTTGTCATAGCTATCGTAATCCCGCCAAAAAGCTAACTACAAGTTGGTTATTTTCAACAATTGATAATTTTTCACTGCATTTTTCGACGACATTTAAACCATGCAAATGCCCATAAGAAATGCCCAATATATGTACGTACGAACATACTTACCTTACACTTCCAATTGTCCTACCCTTGTGCATTTATTGCCTTTATCAAATCTAAATTACATGTACATATGTAGATATATTTAGTTGCAATTTTCTTGCTTGTTTATCCGCGAAATTTTGCAAACAATTATCCATACTTTATTTACTTTTCCTCGCAACATTTTGCATTTCCTCCAACATACATATATATTTAAGTATTTGTTTCTATTTGTACATACAATTATTATGTTTGTTTATATGTTTTTTGCCTTTGTGCCGTATACAACTAACCAACCTCAACAACTTACAAAATTGTCTCTTCTTATCAGTGAGTTCAAAGGTCCAGTCAACGCCACGGCTACCAGGCAGGCAGCCAGGCAAAGTACAAAGTGCTTTCCAGCTTCCTGGTACTTCTCCCCTCCCACACAAGGTACCATCGTACCGCCATAGACGAGGAGGATAACTGTTGAGTGGTCGTAATCATTTGCCAACGTCTCAAGTTGCAAGTCGCGACTGCAAAGTTTTGTCGTTTAGCATTTTTATGTAACGGCTGTCACCGTGTGCGGGCATTGTGGAGCGCATGCAGCAAACGAAATTTTCAATTTTCTTTATTTATCTTGGATTAGTTGTTTTCTTTGCAATTTTTTATTTATTTTTTTTTGGCGGGCAAATATTTTCCGCCTTTTTGACAAAGCCACTGCCGTTGTAGTGGCTTCTTCAGTTTCTGTTTCTGTTTCTGTTTGTTCCTCACTGGCTGTGTGTATTTTGTCAGCTAAATGATTTGGAGTTGAGTTTGTTCAGCGAAGTTTCTCAATTTCTTCTTTCATTTTGACGAGCATTTTTTTTTTCAGTTGATTCTCTATTTCCAGCGTTGTTTGCTATTCCTTTCCGCAGCGCGTTTGTGCCAATAGTGTAATTTCATATTTTGTTTAGATTTTTTTTTTTTGCTCTTTTGACTCTGTGTGCGCCCAATTTTTGCTAGTTGGTAATTATGGCGAGCCATTTTGATGGATTTCAATTTCCCGCATCGTGATGTCCACCACTAACTAACAACGAAGATGTAAACAAAAAATTATACTTAAAAATTCGCCTACGTAACTTCTACCATCAAATATGTATGCAGTCGCAATTTAACTGCAACTTTACAGAACTCAGTAGTTTTCCTCGAAGTTAACAGTCATTAAAAAAGGAGAACAAGTAAGATGATCGGCATCAAGTAAAAGGTAGCACATAATTTCTAATAGAAAGATATTTGTATGAACGAATGTCATTTAAAGTACTTCGAAATGTCATTGAAGGCCAACACAATTGACGCTTATGTGAAAAAAAGAACTCAGATCAATATTTAGAAATGCAGCTCGCGCCCATATACTCGACTAAAATGAGAATAGAACAGCACTAAATCAGGCAAAAATCAAAGGATAAGCCCGCAGCCGACAAAAAATGGTCGAACATACTTACTTTGTATGAAAAGGATGCGCAAAATCATCAACAAAAAAAAAAATCTGTCAAAAATTAACGGCAGGTCTTAGCGCCTTCAAAATTGTACATTATTATACTAAAATTACAGATTTTTCTTTTTAAATCTCGAGAAAAATTTCCTACAAATTTGTGACGTTACTACAAGGATGCTATTTC